TTCGGAGATGGGCAATATCGGTCCACTCCTTTTTGTAGCTCCCCCAAAAAAGGTCTAAATTTGGAAAAAACAAGTTAAATAGTGTCAGTCGGTTCTGCGGCAGATTTATACCCCCAACATTGATTAATCATTATTCTGAATATTGACCCTTTATGGCGAAGGTTCCGAAGCAGTTGGCCAATATTGTATCTGACCTAAGTCTAATATAAATATTACAACTTGTCATATTTGGACTATATGGTCTACTTTCTATACTTTATATGAGACATGTGTCCATTTTTGGAAACTATATAAATATGTGTGGAGGAAAAGATATAGCGGATCAAAGTATTCCATTTGCATACTTCATCTAATACAGAATATTGGTATGTACAAAATTTGAAGGAAGTCGAATATGTATCAATACGAAATCATAAATTCCAGATTCCTGGTTGAGGGAAATATTTAGATATATCAAGTTGTAGAGAATCGCTGACAGGTTTCGCAAGTTTCGACAGATATAATTATTGGAAATTGTGACCCTTTGTGGGTGAGGTACCAGAAGGAGTTGGCAGATATCTATCATCTTCACAGCAGATCTTGTGTTAACAAAAATTTTTGTATGTGTGAAATCTGAAGAGAGTTGGATGCTTCTTTCGCTTTCTTTGAGAGTTTTAGTTTTCAAAATCTTGAACCCTATGTGGGGGAGGCACCAGAAAAAATGGTCCGATCTTTACCATTTTTATTACTGATCTTGTGTTGATGGAAATATTGAGATGTGCCAAGTCTGAATGGAATTTATGTGCTTAATGGATATTAAAAATTTTGAGCCTTTGTGGGGGAGGTACCAGAAGGTGTGAACCGATATTTCCCATCTTCACAGAAAATCTTATGTTACTAGAAATACTGAGATCTGTGAAATTAAAAGGGAATCAGATGCTTATTTCGCGTTTTACCTGATTCATGGCTATTCCATATTTTGACCCTTTGTGGGGGAGGTACCAGAAGGAGTGAACCCATAGATATCTCATCTTCACAGCAGATCTTGTGTTAGTAGAAATATTGGGATGTATGAAATATTAAGGGAAGCGGATACTTATTTCGGATTTTATAATAATTTTGGTTACTCAAAATGTTTACACTTTGTGGGGGAGATACCAGAAGGAGTAGACCTCTGTATTCCATATTCATACCTGACCTTGGGCTAATAAAAATATAGTGATGTGTGTAATTTGAAGAGAAGCGGACTCTCACATCATATTTTATAAGAGTTATAATTATTAAAAAATTCGACCCTTTGTGGGGGAGGTACTTGATGGAGTGGATCGATATTGTCTATTTTCGCACCTGACCTAATACTTATGCAAATATTAGGATTTGCAAAGTTGGATCACAATCGGATTATAGTTCCTCTTTCTGTGCAGAAAATATATTTTCTGAAAATTTCGATCTTTTGTGGGAGAAATACCAGAAGGAGTAGATCCCTATCTTCCATCTTCCCTTCCCTTCCCTTCCATACCTGACCTTGGGTTAATAAAAATATTGTGATGTGTTTAATTTGAAGACAATCGGACTGTTACATCATAGTTTACCAGAAGTAGTCGATTGCCCATCTCCGAACTCGATCTATGTTTGATAATAATATTGCGGTGTACCAAATTTGGACCTAATCGGATACTCAATTTGAGATAGACGGACGGACATCGCTAGATCGACTCCAAATGTTCTGAATAGGGTCTAAAACAGTTATTTCGACGAAGCACGTTTTGACCATATCAAATGAAATATCTGTAGCCATTTGGCTGAGGGTATAAAAAGAAAACAGTAAAAATTAAAAACACGTGTATCGGAGTTTTGAAAGCTTAAATTTCGCAAAGTAACCCAAATAGGGGTTATTCTATATTTTTTGAAATTTTCGGAGTTAGATTCCTAGGAATCCTTGCATTTTGGTTATATAGTGTGTTCGACAATATTGCAGATAACAATTATTTTGGCATAGAAGGTTGAGTCTCAAGCGAGTCACCAAAAGGGTCTTTTTGATCCTTATTTAAAAACAGGGAAAAACTCTCTTTAAACGAAATCGAAACAATCCAAAATATTTCAAAACATCATTTATCATAAAATTCTACTGTAAGTCCCAGAATAGAACAAAGACCTAACTCTTACTTAACAACAGAAATGCATAAATATATAAAATACATTTTAGGGTTAAAAATACATTGAAGGATGGTGCCAAGGACAAAAACGCCCAGGCGAAACTAAAGCTAGAATCTTGAAATTTTGTATGTGGGTCAATGTTGGTAGGTGGGTAGGCTGAAAGGTTGTTTTGAAATTACTTTTAGCAACGAACACGGCACAAAATTTGAATTTTGGCATTAGGATCATTGTTAGTATGTAGCGTTAAGATTTGGAGGTGGTTTTGAAAATATGTACTAAATGGTACTAAATTTGGAGTTTGGGTAAGGGATTGAGTTGGAAGTCTAAAATTTGGTATAGGGATCACCTTTTGCGTAATAGGATGATACATGGCAGGGGATTTGAAAGTACGTACTATAAAGTACGAAAAGTACCAAATAGTAATAAACTTGGTATTTGTTGAAGTAGTAGAGCTGGAAATCTGAAATTGGGAGTGAGAACCTCTGATGTTGTGTAGGATAGACAAATTAAAGGGATTTTAAAAATGCTAACAATACGTTTGCTAAAAGTACTAAAATGCACTAAATTTGGTACCATTTGGAATTATGTGAAGCGATAGAGCTGAAAACTTGAAACTCTGTATGAGAATCAAGGATGGAAAGTAAGTTTGATATTTGAAGGTGATTTTGCAAATGTGTACTAAGTGTGCGAACTGTACTAAATGGTACTAAATTTGGTGCAGTTTGGTTAAGGGTGAAAGTATGGAGCTTTCTATTAGGATCTCTATGGGTAGTAGGTTTGTGTAAGGAGTTAGTTTTGGAAATGAGTATTACAAGTGCACGCAAAATACTAAATAGTACTATATTTGGCACACCTTGATAATGCGTGAACAAATAATGCTTGTAATCTGAAATTTAAAATGAGAGTCACTAATGGAGTACAGGATATATGTACCAAAGAAACTTTGGAAATTCGAATTTTAAAGTCAAGTACTAAGTGGTATTAAATTGGGTATTCAGAGAAGGAATAGAGCTAAAATACGGAAATTCCAAATGGATGTCACTGTTGGTGTCTGTGGTTAAGATATGGAGGTGGTTTTGAAAATGGTACTGTAATTGATCAAAAAGTATTTATTGAAAATATAGTGGGTTTTGGGTGAAGGGTTAGAGTTGAAATTCGAAAATTGGATATAGAGGTCTCGTTGTTATCTGGAAATGAGATATGGAAGTGGTTTTGGAAATGTGTACTATAATGAATGAAAAGTACTAAATAGTCCTGAATTCGGTATTATGTGGAAAGACATAGATAAAATTCTGATAATTGATCTTTAGAGAAATAGAGATTTGGCTGTGGTTTGGAAATGCGTCCTATATTTCTACGAAAAGTTCTAAGTGGTACTAAATGGGGTATTGTGTGAAGGGATAGAGCTGGAATCCCGAAATTTGATATTGAGGTCTCTATTGGTATCTGTGGTTGAGATAAGGAGGTAGTTTTGGAAATGTGTACTATAAGTGTACGAACAGTACTAAGCGGTACAGATTTGGGTATTAGGTGAAAGGTGTTTAAAATATGGAGATGGTTTTGGAAATGTGTCCTATGTTTGTACGAAAAGTACTAAGTGGTACTAAATTTGGTATTGGGTGCAGATAATAATTTAGAAGAGAAGAGATGTAGAGTTCCGGAATCCCGAAATTTGATATTGAGGTCTCCATTGGTATCTGGGATTGACATATGGAGATGGCTTCTGAAATGTGTACTACAATTGTATTAAAAGTACTAAATGGTACTATATTTGGTATTGAGTTAGGGTCCGAGATAAAATTCTGAAATTTGATAGGATTGTGATTTGGCTGTGGTTTGTAAGTGCGTCCTATCTTTGTTTGCAAAATACTAAATGGTAATAAATTGGGTATTGGGTGAAGAGGTAGGGCTGGAATCCTCAAAACTTTATATTTGGGGACTGTGTTGGTATCTGATGTAAATATTTGGTGATTATTTTTAAAATGCGTACTGTAATTGTACTAAATGGTACCAATTTTGTATTACTGTTGGTGTCCAGGTTGGTGAGATGTAGATTGTTTTGAATATGGTTACTAAATATCACTAAAATTGGTATTTTAGGTGTAATAAGTAAACATTTTCCTATTACTCTTTCCGAAAAGATAAGACTTTAATATATATGAGCCTTGAAAATCTGAAAATTTAGTAGGATTTATTAAAATTTGATGAAGAATTTTTGCCAAACTGAACAATTTTTTTTTGTTGAACTGAACGAACTGTTGTAACGAATCTAAAATTTTAAGGCGTTAATTTTGCTGATGACGAGCCGCTAGTTATTCGCATACAAGGTGGAGGAAGTAGCCAAACCTGGCAATTATATCAGATAAATGGACATGGGAGAATATATATCTGCCGGTAAAACCGACTGATAATTTTTAATTTGTTTGTTTTCATGGCGAAACGATGATATCCATAATATTGACATATCTTCTAGTCCAAGCGGGGTATACTCCGGAAAAAGCGATCATTCGTAGTAGGTGAAATTTCTCTTCCAAAACGATCGCTCGTAAAAGATATTGTTTATAACAAATATGAAACTGTAAGTCCTTGAATACGATGTCGTATTGGAGGTACATAGGTTGGATAGACTGACTATAGCTTTTTTGCTTCAAAATAAATGTGAAGAACTCCTCTTCCCTGGTAGAAAAATTTTATGTTGTAAAAAATGAGTGTGACTTTTACCTTGATGTGCTTACACATTTAGATACTTTTACGCAGTTCCATTAAGGGTCGTTGCTTTTAGATATTACATTACTCGCTTCACGTCCTGTTGTCAGATTATGCCTACTCACTTTTAATAATGTGAACACATGTGTGTACAAATATTCAATTTTTATATCTCTCTTTTTATTTTTATTCGTTTTTTTTTTCTTCTCTCTACAAAATATAAATACATTTGCAATATATTATAAAAATATATACGTATGTATTTCATTTCATATACATATATTTAAATGTAATTTTATAGCTAATTATTTGAGGTAAATTCTTTTTTTTTTGTTTTATTATCATTATTATTATTATTAATCATATAATTAATAACTAATTTGTTTAAGCTTAGGCACTAAGAATGAATAGAAACGAAAAAAAAAAATATACATAAATTATTTAAGTGTTGCTTGAAAAATCACGATGCATGTCCATGCTGGGCGTTGACACACTCTGCCACCCTATGTCCACTCGGCTGGTGTTGTTGGCATTTCGGGTTCTTTGCTGCTGAATTCTTTGATGATTTCCGATAAACTTTCATAGGTGCCGGCCACAAAGCCAGCCATGGCCAATATCAAAATGATGGCATTTTTCAAATACATGGAATAGCGGGCACAAATACTGGAAATGTCACGTTTGACAATCAATTCAATGATGGGTGGGAATACCAAGGCCAAGGCTGTGGAGCATAACGAGCCAATTAGAGATATGAAGAGACCCAAATTCGGTACCAATTCAGCAATGCCCACTGTAATTATAAAAGAAAAATGCATTTATATCAAACATTTTCTGTATCGTTTTTTTCACTCCTTTTTCTTTTACTTACACGTCACAATAACCATAACACTGCGGAAAGTCAAATTAGCTGCCAAGGTATGTTCGTAACATTTGAATGTCTCTATCACAGATGGTAACATAATTTGTATGGCAATATGGAATTGTAAAGGATAACCAAAGAGCACACCCATTGAGACCATGACTTTGACAATTTGGGCGCCACTGTAGAAGAAAGGGAAAAATTGGATGTTAGAGATTCGGAATCATTCTCATTTAGAATCTTAAACACCTACATGGTATCTCCAAGATTGAGTGTTAAACTACCGGCCACATCATCACCCCATTTAATATAACCAACCATACCGGCAGCCATGAACATTAGGGTGACCTGAAAAAGAAAATTTGAAAAAATATGAATAAAATTTGTGACGTGGTTTTACATATGGTCAGGGAGTCTATATAGAGGATATGGAGGTCTTTACAGACGAGGCAAGAGACCAGGGAATCCCTACAGGCAAACGGAGGGGCTGATAGACTAGGAAGTAAAGACTAGCTGAGGGGCCAGCAGGTATATAAAGATTAGGGTCAGCTGATCTATTAAGACTAGCTGACGGTGTCAGCTGGTTTATAAAGACTAGCTGAGAGGGTCTATAAGGACTAGGCGACGAGGCCAGCAGGTCCATATAGACTAGCTGACGGAGTCATCTGATCTATAAAGACTAGCTGAGGGGGTCAGCTGGTCTATAAATGCTAGCTAAGGTGGTCAGCTGGTCTATTAAGACAAGCTGACGTGGCAAGCTGGTCTGTAAAGACTGGCTGAGGAGGTCAGCTGGTCTATAAAGACTAGCTGAGGAGGTCAGCTGGTCTATAAAGACTAGCTGAGGAGGTCAGCTGGTCTATAAAGACTAGCTGAGGAGGTCAGCTGGTCTATAAAGACAAGCTGAGGGGCTCAGCTGGTCTACGAAGACAAGCTGAGGGGCTCAGCTGGTCTACGAAGACAAGCTGAGGGGCTCAGCTGGTCTACGAAGACAAGCTGAGGGGCTCAGCTGGTCTACGAAGACAAGCTGAGGGGCTCAGCTGGTCTACGAAGACAAGCTGAGGGGCTCAGCTGGTCTATGAAGACAAGCTGAGGGGGCTCAGCTGGTCTATGAAGACAAGCTGAGGGGCTCAGCTGGTCTATGAAGACAAGCTGAGGGGCTCAGCTGGTCTATGAAGACAAGCTGAGGGGCTCAGCTGGTCTATGAAGACAAGCTGAGGGGCTCAGCTGGTCTATAAAGACTAGCTGAGGAGGTCAGCTGAGGAGGTCAGCTGGTCTATAAAGACTAGCTGAGGAGGTCAGCTGGTCTATAAAGACTAGCTGGCTGGGTCAGCTGGTCTATAAAGACTAGCTGAGGAGGTCAGCTGGTCTAAAAAGACTAGCTGAGAAGGTCAGCTGGTCTATAAAGACTAGCTGAGGAGGTCAGCTGGTCTATAAAAACAAGCTGAGGCGCTCTGCTGGTTTATAAAGACTATCTGAGGGACTCAGCTGGTCTAGAAAGAATAGCTGAGGGACTTAGCTGGTCTATAAAGGCTACCTGAGGAGCTCAGCTGGTCTATAAAGGCTAGCTGAGGGGCTCAGCTGGTCTATAAAGGCTAACTGAGGGGGTCATCTGGTCTTTAAAGACAAGCTGAGGGGCTCAGCTGGTCTATAACGACAAGCTGAGGGGCTCAGCTGGTCTATAACGACAAGCTGAAGGGCTCAGCTGGTCTATAAGGACAAGCTGAGGGGATCAGCTGGTCTATAAAGACAAGCTGAGGGGCTCAGCAGGTCTATAAAGACAAGCTGAGGGGCTTAGCTGGTCTATAAAGACAAGCTGAGGAGCTCAGCTGGTCTATAAAGACAAGCTGAGGAGCTCAGCTGGTCTATAAAGACAAGCTGTGGGGCTCAGCTGGTCTATAAAGACAAGCTGTGGGGCTCAGCTGGTCTATAAAGACAAGCTGAGGGGCTCAGCTGGTCTATAAAGACAAGCTGAGGGGCTCAGCTGGTCTATAAAAACTAGCTGAGGAGGTCATCTGGTCTATAAAGACTATCTGAGGGGGTCTCCTGGTCTATAAAGACTAGCTGAGGAGGTCAGCTGGTCTATAAAGACTAGCTGACGGGGTCATCTGGTATATAAAGACTAGCTGACGGGGTCATCTGGTCTATAAAGACAAGCTGATGGGGTCATTTGATCTATAAAGACAAGTTGACGGGGTCAGCTGGTCTGTAAAAACAAGCTGAGGGGGTTAGCTGGTCTGTAAAGACTAGCTGAGGGGGTCAGCTGATCTATAAAGACTAGCTGAGGCGATCAGCCGACTGGATCCTCTGCTGGTCTACTATCATCTACTGGTCTACTAGATCAGCTGACAGGTTCAGCTGACTGGATCAACTGCTCCATCTAGTGGAAGGAATTTCGGGAAAATTTAAAGATTACAATACTTACGAAAAACATGCCGACATTCAGCACGCCCATGGGGCGATCAAAATTATTTGGATTGGCCATGGCATTTTTCAGCGGCAACACCAAGGCAATTCCTTCAAAAGCAAAGATGGCGGTACCAAAATACAGCGCCAATTCCATGGGGCTTGTGAACAGCTTTCTCTCAGCCACATCTGGCAGACCGTCCTTAAGGCCATAATACATGGTTATCGAAAGGCCACAGATCATGCAAATGTTGGCAATAAATGACACCGGGGTCAGGTACTTGAGATTTGTTATCATGGAACTTAACCAAATCGGAATAAAGGTGATCAGCATAACATAGTGGACATCCAAGTTGATTTCATAGGCCAGCAATATCTGCAAAGAAGGAGAGGTGTGAATTTGACATAAGAAAATATTTCTTCTCTCTCCCTCTCTCACCCACTCTTACCTGTTTAATATTTGTACTGATAAACACAAAGTAGATGCAACAGAACCCCAGCTGGGTAACACATATAAAGAGATTCACCAAACCCTTCATGGTCCTAGCCAGCTTTTGTGTTGCCTTCGGCCCCGTTTCAAAACACTGTTCAATTGTCTCCGCAAAATCGGGATATTTTTCGGAATTCCGCAACTCCTTCATTTTCACTGAGGAATTGATCAACATATGTTGACAGTGTATGGAAATCAAGGCAATGAGCACGGTGAGTATGGGAGCCAGCACCAGACCGCCATGCATAAAGGCAAAACCCATGGCAAAGAGACCTGGTCCAATGTTGCCCTTAAACAGATGTATAATAGACTGAAAATAGCTGAGAATGTTTTAGAAAAAGAAAATGCATGCAATTGTGATTGACGATTAGAAATTGTTCGAAATCGGATTGTATTTCTTCCCTCCCTGTCTCACCTGGTGGGTATTTCCTTTTTAATGTGATCGTCGACATTGGGAGCCTCTGTGATGTGCGTTATCGGTGCCGGCGGCTTCTTCTTCTGTAAAAAAGAAAACATTTGCAATTAATTTTGATTTTCAAAATGAAAGGAATTTTAAAATTTGTTTACAATATGTTTTTCAAATATTTTGTTCTAATGACAATGAAAAAAAAATTACACTTAAAAATATATGGGTAAATTCATAAGTTCCTTTTTGTTCCTTTTTGTAAAGGAACAAGGATCTCTAGGGTGACCAAACCTAAATTATGGTCTGAACTGTTGAAATGGATTCCATCTTTATCCCTTCAGCCAATACCAAATTTAGTACCAATTAGTAATTTTCGTACAACTTTTAGATTCCATATACAAACAAAAACCTCAATATTAAATTTGAGGATTCCAGCTCTATCCCTTTACCGAATATTAAATTTACTACTATTTAGTACTTTTTGTACATTTGTAGCACAAAACCACTTCCATATTTCAATTCCAGATACCAATACCATAGATGTCACTATATCAAATTTCAAGATTTCAGCTCTATTCCTGCACTTCATTCTAAATTTAGTATTATTAAGTACTTTTCGTACAAGTATTGTACACATTTCCTAAACTACCTGCATATTTCAATTCCACATACCAACAGATACCTCAATATAAAATCTGAGGATTCCTATCCCTTAACCCCATAGGACGCATATTCAAAACTAGCTCTCTCTCAACCACAGATCCCAACAGTGACTTGGATAACAAAACTCCGGATACCAGCTATTTTCCTCCACTCAGTACCAAATTTAGTACTATTAAGTACATTTCGTACAATAATAGTACGCATTTCCAAAACCTCCTCCATATCTCAATTTCAGAGACCAACATACACTTCAATGTTAAATTTTAGGATTTCAGCTTAGGATCTCCTCACCCAATATCCAATTTAGTTTCACAAAACCATCACCCAAATCTCAAACACACATGCCATCAGTACTCTAAGTATCGAATTTCAGAATTGTATTTCAGAAATTGTATCTCAAGACCAAATTTTGTACTATTTAGTACTTATACCAAATATAGTACAATTTGGTACCTTTCGTGCATTTGTAGTACCCATTTCCAGAAGCTGAAAAAAATTACATTTTTCCTACAAAATGTACAAACAATTTTGTAAAATTAACCATTTTAGAAAGGACCAGGACCCAACCCTGGATACGTTCCTGGTACGGAGTTACTATTGACTGACCGGCATGTGCTGGAACTTTTCAATTTTGTATGAGGATCTGCCATTCTGAGGGTGTGTTAAAAAATGTGGTATTCTAGGGATTTTCTTTATTATACCCTCCACCTTGGAAAGGAGGATATATTAACTTTGTCCTTCCGTTTGTAACATCCCTAAATAATGTATATATATTCATAATCAGCATAAAATTCTAAGTCGATTTAACGATGTCCCTCTGTCTGTCTGTCTGTCTGTCTGTTGAAATCACGATACAGGCCACATTATTTGACATGGAGCGTCAAAATTGAGCAGAATAATTTGTATTGTGTCCAGAATGGTTGGTATTGAAAATCAGATATATCGGTCCACGTTTTAGTATAGTCCCCATATAACGGTACCTCCCGATATTCGGTATTTTGATAATTTTTGCCACACTTTTTCACGGATTTGTCTGAAAATTGGTATTTGTAGGGCATAATGGGTTCTAGTTCATGTGGCGAAAAATTATATGTATAGGTCCACGATTTGGTATAGCCCCCATATAACGGTATCTCCCGATATTCGGCATTTTGATGGTTTTTGTCACATTTTTTCACGGATTTGTCTAAAAATTAGAATTTGTTGGCCACAATAGGTTCTAGTTCCGTTGGCGAAACATTGTATATATAGGTCCACGTTTTTGTATAGCCCTATATAACGGTATCTCCCGATATTCGGTATTTTGATGATTTTTGTCACATTTTCCCATGAATATATCTAAAAATTGGTATTTGTGGGTCATAATAGGTTCTAAAGTTTCCTTTACTCTGAGGGTATTTAAAGTTCGGGGCAGCCAAACTTAATGTTTTTTTACTTGTTTAAGAGTACAATAAGTACAAAACGTTGCAAAACCATACTGTCATATTATTGAGCGATCTAAAAGAGCTAGTATTGTGAAATTTTCGCGAAGAACCTCCCTAAGTGCGGAGCTGTAGAAATATGTGGAGTTCTAGGGAATTTATAATATAAGTATGCAATAAAAACTAAAATTCAAAAAATGGTACGGTATTAGTAGTAAGTGATCAAAAAAAAAAGCTCAAATTTTTTATAAAATGGTTTGTCAAAAAATCTATTATAGGTTAAAAAAATATATAATAGGTTTCAGAATGCACCCAGAATCTAAATCTTTTCTAAACCCCACGAACTTAAAAAAAAAAATAAATTTTAGGTTTAGAGCTGTACTTTAGAGTTTATGCAAAATACTCCAATAAAACATTATTTGGAACATAAAAACAATTTTTAAGAAATTTCTATATTTGTATGTCATCAAAGAAAAGAATTTGCTATTTCCGAAATTTTTTGTTGCAATTTTGCCAAATAAACGCGAAAATTTGTGTTACTATTTTCATGGACAATTTTTCTGTCTTTTTTCAATTTGATGCTTGGATGTTACATAAAACCTAGTTTTAGACAGAAAGCGTAAATGGAAGAATGGAATATTCTATACCAAGTTTCATTACAAGTCTCTGAATAAACGACATATCTAGGTATTACAGTTTCTATGAAAATTGTATTCGAAATTTATATACTACGAGTGAAAATTATTTACTATGTTTTTTTAACTGCCATATTAACACGTTTGAACTACAAGTCAATATCTCCCCAAATACTTCAACTGGGATGTGGTAAATTCCAAGTGGATAAGACAGTATTCGGTTCGTAGATCAAAGCCCGAAAAATGTTTTGGGCTCTCAAGCCAAACTTCGTTTAGGCGCCTTTATATTTAGCCTTTGTCGTACACAATTGAATTCCAATACCTCGAACATGTAATATAGAATTTTGAAATGTTATGGAGAGCCTTGAAGTACTTCAAGAATCATTGATTAAAAAAATAATTAAAGTTGACAATAAAGGTCCACATTTGGCTATAGCCCTCATATAACGATACGACACGGTATTAGGTATTTTCATGATTTTAGCCAAATTTGTCAATGGGACCGGTCTTTTTTTACTAGGATTATTTTTAATTTTCTTTGAAGTAATTTGGTTTTGAAGTCCTCATGTTTAAACTATCAGCGAATGACCTCCAATGTTGTAGGATAAATGTCCCCAAACACCAGAGGCATTGAAATTCACACAACAGCAATCTTACTTTTTCTTTGGTTGCAAGTAATCCTGATTTACTATTGAAGGCATTTGCTTCATCCTCCACCAGGGAGGTGGGTCTGGCATATTTCCACTTCACTAACAGCGATTGTCCTTCCATGGGATCTTTTATCTCACTACGATTGGTCATAATCAACAATAGTATTTATTTAATTATTTATATTTTTTTTAATTATTTCTATCTTGAAAATAAAACAATTCACAACATCCGTTCACCACAATGGCTGATAAGGAACTTTCTCTAGCCTCCGCACTAGCCCAGCTATCTAGGCGAAAAATCACTGATCAATCTTTTCGATTTTATCTGTTGTTGCTTCGTTTTTTTTTTTTTTTGTTTTTTTTTGCAATCGGAATTTCTCCAACTAAGTACAAATAGAACAATTATTTTTAATTTCACAATAATTCTCGCTGAGAACCCTTAAGTATGGGGGCATGCGATTGTCGTCTTCTGTATTCGAGATATGAATCGAGTGATCGACATTGTAATGACAAACAGAGTTTCCTCTCGTCATTACATTCGATTCGAGGGGAAAAGCGCAATAATAATCCCCATCCCTGGCCTTCATCGGCATTGGATGGTAATTATTTTGTCTTTATTTTTTTTTTTTTTTCAACCAATTCTGTAATTATAGAAAATTAACAATTTAATGGAAAATTTTCTCTCGTTGTCGCTATTTTCTTGGCAAATCGTGTCGTTATGTAGATTCTCGGCTTTTAATTGAAGGGCACGCAATTTATTACGAATTAAACTTGACTTATTAGATAACTCATTACAAAATACTGAATAAAGTCACATAATAGTTTGGCATGATTGGTATTTGGAACAGCACGTGTTGGGGGTAGATTGAAATGGAAAAATATTTAAATTAGGTGTTTCGTCATTAAAATAAAAGAAAAAAATAATTAATGGCTCAAAATTTTTGGTAAACCAAAATTCTTCTTCATCTTGTGTGAGCGTTTTGGTTATTCAATATTTGGACTTTTTGTGGGAGGAGGTACCAGATGTAGTCGGCCGATATTGTCCATTTTCGCACCTGGTACAAATATTAGGATTTGCCAAGCTTGAACAAAACTGGATGATCCTTTCCCCTTCTATAAGTAAATTATTTTCTTTGATTGTTTAAACCTTTTGTGGGGGATTTACAAGAAGGAGAGATCCGACAATATTACGATATTCCAATTTTAGACGACATCGGTACTCTCTTTGAGAGTTACCGTGTGCACTAGCCATCCCGACGAACGGACACCGCTAGAACGATTCAAAATTTTCTGAAACTGATTTAGTCGAAAAAGACCTAGGGCCAATGAGGAAGATTTAGGCCCTTGGAGCCATATCAAAATACAATTATAAGACGATTTAGCGATGTCCGTCTGTTGAAATCACGATAGAGTCCGCATTTTTTAATCTAGAGCTTTGAAATTTGGCACAGAGCTTTATATTGCATGCAGGCTGATTGGTAATAGGCTATATTGGTCCCCGTTTAGGTATAGCCCCCATTTTTCGGATTTTCGGTATTTTGAAAGTCCCTGCCAAAATGTCCAACCAAATAAGCTGAAAATTTACATTTGGGGTTCTTGATAGGTATGTTTTCACCCTGCAAAAAATACTCGCTACAGGTCCACTAATTGTTGTAGCCCCCATAAAACGGTATCAATTTCCAACCAAATATAATGAAAGTTGACAATTGGGGTTCTCGGTAGG